TTTCGGAACTTTTCGACGGTTAAAATGTCAATTATAAAATATATAAACAAAGTGAATAATAAATAAATACCTAAATGAAAACGACACTATATAAAAAAAATATGTATGTATATGAAGTGAATACAAATAAATAATATGCAAAATAAATAAATGATTACAAAATTAACAAAACGAAAACCAAAGTATTGTAAGGGCCATTCTCGCCAACATGAAATGCTTTCGTCGATTTTCAAACTGAGTTTATAGCTGATAACCGACCGCGCGATTGGTCGATTATCTTGTAAACTCCGTTTAAAAGTCAAGTTTACGTGTGGCCCTTGTGCGTGTATACGACCGGTTTCGATTTAAACAAACCATCATCAAGGATACCTAATTTGTTTGTGGATTTTTACTTAACCTTAATTTTTTGTATTAAAAATATACAATATATATATATATATACCCGTACGAAATAATAATTCGATGAAATTATCGAGCGGAAAAACTTAATCGCGTTCGGGTGTTCTTAGCATTTTAAACGCTTAAAAATCCCGCCTATAAACGCTCATAACAAACGGATATTTTTATTATTCACGTTGGACTTTCGTATTTTTATTTTCAACAATACGGACTGAGCCCAAATACACAGAATTATGACAATAACATATAAAATATAAAAACAACGAATAAATTTATAACAAAATACTGAAACGATTATGGATCACTATTTGCGCCGCACGCATCGTTCACGCATCGATCGGCTGGTTCTCAGCATAATTGGTGTTGCATTTATAAGTATAAAAAACAGATATATGTGACGAACAGTAGTGGAAGGGACTTTAAAGTCAATAATATAGTAAAACAGGAGTCAATAATAATCGTCTATTAGTTGGTTGAGAAAATTACGATTAGCGACTCGCCCTCTATAATCAGCTAAGGAACATAGGAAGTGCATTTTTTCAACTGATTGTGAAACGTAGCTTTCTGAGTACATAATTTGAATTATGTAACTACAAATTAATTTATAAAACTTTTATTTTGCATTTTTTGCCTTTTTTAATTTTTAAAGGTCATTTTTTAGACTTTATAAGTCATATTTTCCTTTTTAATTCAGTTTCCGGTATTTTTAATTTAATTGCGTCAATTAACATCCTTACGCACATTTTTTTTGTTTTACACAGGCTATGTATACGTCAAATTTATATTATTTTATAAAATATTTTACACAAGCTGTATACGGGACAGGTAAGATAAGGATTCCGTGAAATATGGCAATATTGCTTAGATCAGTTATTATTGGGTTTACGATGTATCGATATCAGTAATATCAATGATATCAAAATAAATATAAAAATTAAATAAAAAACCATTTCAAGTGCATTTTATATTGCATTCTTTGAGACTTAAAATGCACATATTTTTATTTCATTTGTAGTGCATTTTTAAGATTTTCTCACTGCATTAAATTCACAGCCATAATTATTATTACTGTTATTAAATTGATCAGAAACGATCGCTGGATAATCGTCTCGATCGTCACGCGGCTAGGGCGAGACGACAATAACGCGTGCCGTGCTTTTGTCGCTACGGTTAAACTTCTCGATGGGCTAGAGGGGCGGGGGGGTCTTGGGAACGCGACGCGACGCGGACTCGAAACGATCACGTCGCGGTAGTGCAGGATGTGCGGTACGACAGACCGGTAGCCGCGGCGTGAAAACGAGGAGTGTTACGAGACGATTGTGCACCGGACGAGGGTCCAGGCGGACGGGTAACCGCGCGGGGCTTAAGAGCGGTGGACTACCTATACGCGGTGTACTCGGCGGCGGCGGCGGTTCGGAGCAATACACGCCGCCGCCGGGACGAATATTATTATTATTTTGACAAATCCCAATATAGTTTGTTGAAAAGCGAACGGCGACGGCCATTGTATGCGTATACGAGACGCGTTATTCTCATTATAATTTTGTGGCGCGCACATTGTCGAACCCCGGCGACTGGCTAGAGAGAGAGGGTCACAGACGGAAATATAGGAACAGAGAGAGAGAGAGAGACAGACAGAGAGAGGGTGATAGAGGGAGAGCGAGAGAAGAAAGCCCTTTTACACGAGGTGAAGAGATGTTCTGAGCGCGCGCGCGCGCGTGTGTGTGTGTGTGTGTGTGTACCCTACGACCGAGTGGGTATATACGTATACGGACATATCCCGCGCGATAGCTCCCACACGCACTCGTCGTCCGACCAGAAACATTATTCATCGTCGTCGTCGGGCCACTATAATATACGTCGCGCGTCGTCGCCGGTGGCCGCCGAAACGTATTCTCCTCCATATCCGGACAGACGGCATCGTATTATCATTGTTATTATTATTATTATTATTATTATTGTTGTTGTTGTTGTTGTTGTTTGGTCGTGTTACACGTCACCTATCCCCGTCGACGACGACCATTAACGTCGTATTCGCGTCAGTTTGTCAACCGCCTGTCCGCCGCCGAATAACAGAACCCGCCTTCCCCCCCCGTGATCCGTCCGAAATGACAACCATGCGACGCGTGCATAAAAACCGTATAGGGGAACCGCTGCGATTTCGCACGCGACGACGGGCGATACGCCGCGACGCGGGTCCGTCGTCCGCGACCGACAGTATAATTAATCGGATATAATTGTTTTACTTTTTTTTTTTTCACACACTAATACGAATATTAGCCGACATTTTCCTGGCTGAATACTTGAAAAAAAATAATAAATATCGTTTTAACGTATCTTCCCCGGAAATTTGCTAGATTCGCGACTTATTTTCTTAAAAACTGAAAAAAAAAACTTTCCTAGGATTATGGAGACGGATGCTGCCACTGTTGTTTATCTGTGAGCAACGATTAACCATCGCTTACGAAAAGTCGATTCTGAGCGGAGTTCGGTTAATAGTGTTGCTTTGTCAACAATATATAATATGTCATATTACTATGGTAAAATAATTACGTATGGATTTTATATTTTCTTTAATAATATTGGTTTAGTATAGTACCTATTTTCCCGTTTTTCCTAGGTTTTTCTCGGTTTTTTCCAATTTATTGGGAAAACTCCTGGGAAAATCAAAAAATTACCTCTTTAAAGTACCTCCCCAGTCAGATTTTCTTTCAGAAAAAGTGCTATCATTGAAAAACCGATATAACGTACACCGCTCAGAATCGGTTTTTGATTACGATGATTCGTTCTTACTTTTAATTTCGATTTACCTATAAATTAAATTACCATTCTACATCCTAAATATCTTCAATACTTCCCGTCTACAACAGTGGTTGTAGAACGAAGTGTGTCCGATTTTTTTAATTTGAATTTCTATACATGGATATTACCAACTCCACTGGGACTGAGAATGTTTTGAATTAAATATTGATTGTATGTAAACATTTATTATGAATACGAATTAAATAACAATTATGTTTACCGCGCAACCATAAATATATTATCAACCAACAATCGAATTCCGCTCAGAATCGTTTTTTGATTGGATAATTTATCTTTGTTGTCCGTTAACAATAATCTCATCTACGACACTGGCCTACTATAATATTCGTATGTACTCGTAATTTTAAACGGTATAAATAAAATATATACATATAGGTATATAACTAACAATAGTGAATGCGATGATGTTCACTATTTTTGAAATATACGCGCATGTATATTTTTGTAAGGACCGTTATTTCTTGCACATAAGAAACTACCCTATTGAATATCGTCTAACACTCTAACATATAGAGTATAGTAAAAGGAAAACGATTTTCAGCCGTGCCGTGAGTTTTAAATGTGCGGCAAGTTGCCGAAACTTCTATGTATCTACTAGGGACAAATCGTGTTCGACCCAATTGTGTTGTTCTTTTTCGCGTCATAGTAAAAAGAAAAAAAAATAAGAAAAAGAAACGAGAGTGAACAACGGGAACAAGGAGTAAAAGTTACACGATATTGTATTCGGGAGCCGACAGCGAGTACAAAAACACCACCGCCGTCGTCGTTGCGATAACATAAACAGATAAATATAACAAAGAATTACAAAAAGGACGACGACGGTGGTTTTCTCTTCTCCCGTGTTCCGGTGAAATCCTCATTCCTAGCACATTTCTCAATTTCCTTTTTCATCAACGCCCATTTCGAAGAAAATACGCGAGTACACCCGCAAGTTAAAGTCTATCCGTAAACTCGCCCGCAAGTCACGAAAAAGTTTAGCCCGATCACAGGTAAAAAAAAAAAAATGTTCTATTAAGTATATACCTATATAAATAAAACAGAAAAAAGCTGACACCGTTGATGGTTGTTCAGCGGTTTTAGGATGAAGAGAGGATACGGCATAGAGTAATTTAATTTATATTAGCCGTGCGTAACCTTAAACCATTGAAAAGATCAAGTAATCTGTGCAGAGTATTATGAGTAGTATTTTTTCCATCTATTTATAAAACTATACTAAAAATTAAATAATTTTACCTCTTTAATGCACCAATTAAATCAAAAATTCGACTAGAAAGTTCTTACGCGGTTTATGATTGGACCAAGATTTCTGGTAGAAAATTCGTTCACATCATAATTAATAATAAACCAATACATTCCTCGCTTTATTTAGAATTTGAAAATATCGACTAGATTTCGCTTTATTACTTAAGTTTATACCTACATTTAAAATCATTCTGATGTTATTATTATTATTATTTTTTTTTTTTTATCATAAAACAATAATGAATAAAATTAAGAAACATTAATAAATATTTTGAAAAATCATATAAAATATAATTTTCACCTTAATGACTTGATAATTATATCAAAATGAATCTCTAATAGGTGTTAATTTTTTAAAAAAATATTAATAAATCCGGGACTTTAAAGGTGTATAGATATAAATATATGTCAGTATATTTACACCTATATTCCAATTATTTTAGACACCTCCATGTCTATTTAAAACGCCATCACATGAAAAAGACTCGATGACGGCAACTACAGAACCCGTAGGTTTTAATATGCCACAACGCGAAATGCCTCGAGAGACCACAAAAGTAATTTTAAGAAACCGACAAACACGTCCTGAGAGTGTAATAAACGCGAGCTCCAATTTTCCAATTCTCTTAAATCAACCGCCGACTAGTTTTTGTTCTTTTGTGCTCCACCTATCATCCTATATGCATAATATTTGGAAGGTAATTTCTAACTTTCGGGTTACAATTGCTGTGGACATAATTCTTTTAAATGTAAAAAACAAAAATATGTTTTAGACTTTAAAGAAAAATAAATTATATACCGCTAAATAACTTATCAATAATTTATCTATATCAAAACAATATAATTCAAATTACAAAAAAATTGTAAATATTATTTAATATTTAACAAATGTATGTTTTTTAAGCAAATTATTAATTTCACGCTTATACATTGTTTCAAAAATAAAAATTGCTTACGAAAAACGATTCTGTATAAAACGCGGAGAAATAATAATGTTTTATTGAAATGCCATGGTTTTACGGTTTTCGTTAATATAATAGTATAAGACTATACTTTTACCACTAAGTAAAACTTACGGTAAACCTTGTGTAGAATTTTCAATCATATCTACTCGGCCAAAACAATTATATCCAAAAATCATAAACCTAACTGATCTCTGCATTTTCAAATGACAATAAATTGAAAATTCATCAGAATGTTTTGGAAATTGCACAGCTAAAACGATCATATAATGTATATGGAATCGGTGTGATTTGCAGGCGTCTATAATTATTTTTAACCGAATTAAACCGGAAAGAAAACAAAATATAAGACAATGAAACTGTATTACTGTACATTTCCCTGCATTATTTCCCTGATTTTCCCATTTATTTAGAAAACATCAAGGAAAACCAAAATACTACCTGCCAACTACCCACCAAAACGAGAAAACATTTTCTTTTAAAAAATACGCTATACTTGATAAATTGATTTTTGGTAAAAAAGTTGTTCACAGATGTGGAAAAAACACATACTAACGTCATAGGAAAACTAATTTTATGCTATGCTCAAAATCTACAAAAAAAAAAAATTGAATTTTCAAAATTCTTAGTCAGATATTTTTGCGTATACATGAACACATTATATGCACTTTACATAATATATTATATTTATCTATTTACAATATGAATTTACAGTATGAATGATAAAAATAATTATGGAAAAATGTGCCCGTATCGTGTATACAATATAGAATATCATTCTTAGGTAATAACGAGTATAATATTTTGTACGTATATGATATTATACACAATATACGCGATAATATGTTACAGAAAAACCTATTTTAATATAATTTGTACGATAAGGTAGTTCTTCAAAGAATTGTAAGTATTACACATGGGTAGAAAAATTTTTAAAAAAAATCATCAAAATCTTTGTAGTACCTATACCTACCTATATTACATTTGTGTATACCTATCTAAATACACACGAGTTTATTTTCCCTGTCGATCCTATTACGTAATGGATTTACATAATATAGCATATATCTTATATTCAGTCTCTTTTGATCTAAACGTAAATTATTTTAGAATAAATAACAGCTGTACTGATCACACATATATATATATAAACTATAGGAAAGCACATATTATTGTATATTTTCTGCACCAAATATTTATTATTATATTATTTTATTTAAAAAAAAAAAAAATCACTTGTATAGCACAGATATGACACTATTAGAGTAGATTAATTTATATATTATATCCGGTGGCGCAACCGGGATTCATTTTCGAGTGAAGTAAGGGGGTATAAATTTCAAACGAATTTCTGGAAACATGTTTGGATTAATTACTAACCAGGTGAAGTGCGCAACGACGTATTCAAATTTACGGCGAAATGTCTGAAATTCAAATACAAATTTATAAATTTATGAATTTGTACACGAAATCTCATATCTCGGGAGGGAAGGTGGTTATAACCCCCCTCCCAGGTTGCGCCACTGATTATGTCTAAATATGAGTTTATACACATATTATGAATAAAATGTAGTAAAAATCATAAGTATGAGGGTTTATCGTCATTTTTGAGTTACTCAACCTATACATATTACAATATATTAATGTTTATTATAACGAATATATTATTATAATAATATTATGTATGCTCCCTTTTATATGTATATATATACCAGTGGCGAACGCAGGAGTCGATTTGGATGTTTTGTGTATGAAATTTTAAATAATAATTTGATTTAGAGTAATAAGCAAAATTGTACACTTTTTTTTTTCCTGCGTTCACCCCCGATGTATGTTATGAAATCTATATACCTATGCCTAAACATACTTATGGTTGCTGTGTAAGGATTGATAATACAATATTATACAATTTTATATTATTTATAACATACAATTGGGATTGTATTTAGGTTGCTTGGATTAAAGCCGATACAAAAGCCATATTAGCTATTCACGAACACGTTATCACGAACAACGAAAGACTGTCCGTCACCCACAACGATTATAATACGTGGACATTAAACGTCAAGACGGTTCGCAGGGAAGACCGTGGCACTTATATGTGTCAAGTCAATACGGACCCGATGAAAAGCCAAGTAAAATTTATCATGCTATGATATTTGATATAAAATTGTCTTTTATTTTTTTAATTTTGCTGACAATCGTATTATATATCATACGTACTCTAGAGTGCTTATCTAGAAGTAGTAATACCACCGGACATCGTGTATGAAGAGACTTCCGGGGACATGATGATACCCGAAGGTGGTTCGGCCAAGTTGGTGTGCAAAGCAAGAGGATATCCCGAGCCGAACATAATATGGAAAAGAGAAGACGGCGGTGAAATCATCGTTAGAACAACAACGAGCCCGAACGCGTCGTCAAAAACTAAAAGTAAAAGAGTCGATGTTATAATAGTATTTTTACTACAAAAAATACATACATTTATTTTAATTTGGGTTATCAGCATTTAGTACTAAACAAAATCGTTTCGAATGAAATTTAAAGTGTCAATTGATAAAGGTATTAACTAAATTTTTTTTTTAAATGTTCAAGAGGATGATTTTTGATGAACAATTTATCATAACCCCTTACCCACAGTAAAGAACGACAAATAGTAATCGGTATTAAAATACTAATATAATCGAATCTAATTTGAAATCAGTTTTATCATAATATAAAACCAAAAAATAAATTGTATTAATTATATATGCTATAACATTATAACATATCAATTGAATATCTCCAAAGATATATACATATATATATATATATATATATATATTTTTTTTTTAAAAAAAAAACTGCTTGATAGCTTTTATTATAACAATCTTTAGCAATGCATTTCAAAGGTGCACATGAATACTCTCACTCCCAATGGAATGGACTCAGTCTAAAATATAAGTATGTTTTTTGTTCTGAAATGTTATACGCGTTTGTAGTAAGTCAAAACGAGTCGATTTATGAAATAAATATGGATTTTAAAAAGAATAACAGTCAACACTTTTATTCATTGACCCCCTTTAACTATTATTAATACCTACAATTATGTCTAATTAATTGCATAGCCAAGAGACGGAAGGGGCTAATCGACTAAAACTACTCCATGGCACGTGTTTATATAAAAATATAGTATGTACATTATTTTACGATTCCAGTGATAATTACGTTTCCAATTATTTTTCCACTTTTAAAATAATGATTTCTATACTGAACTGTTTAGAAAGAGCGCTATGTCAGAAAATAAACTCAATAGATTATAGCCATGGCCCACAGCTAATATTATAAATTTAAAAAAAAGAAACTATTAATGAAAATGATATATATACTGATTTTGCAAAAAAATCACTTGGAATTCTCCTAGAATGCAGCTGTCAGAGGAACTTATTAAATATTTATGCATATATAGTTACAAGATATGTCAAGATATTATTATGCGTATTATATATTCTCATTTAATTATTAAGTTTCTTTTTTTATCAATTTTTGGTTAAAGTATTATATTGATGTGATAAAAACCCTTTTCAAATTTTGCTAGCGAATTCGAACTCCCCAAACCTTTATCACTCACGCCCATGATTCAAACAAGAACATATATTTTTTTTAATTTCAGAGACAGCGGTAGAAGGCGAATCTTTACTTTTATCAAAAGTGACAAGATCAGAAATGGGCGCATATCTTTGCATTGCGTCCAACGGTGTACCGCCATCGGTTAGCAAAAGACTGATGCTTCACGTTCATTGTGAGTATAATATTTATATGAATTATTCATTATGTATATTATAATAAATGCATTATATATATAAATATAAATATATTATATCTATGTATTCTTTATGCACAAGCAATGTTGAAAAATTATTTTCGACGGTGTAAAAAGAAAAATCGACGTAATTTCCTTGCCATCCCCTGGCGACCGTTCAACAATAGCGTATCGTGGAAACAGATTGAAAGTTTTTTCGTCCCGATAGGGTTAGGTCTGATTGGCATTTATCACCGATATCCAAAACGGTTCTGCGAGTACAAAAGAGCATTAATAACGTCCATCTCTCTATGTATACTATCATTCTCTCTGGCTATTTTTAAAATAAATATACATATATAATATATATATATTGATTCATATATGTATAATATAGAAGCCGCGATATACAGTACAGCAGAACGGAATCGGCTGTCGGCAAGAGCTATTTTTTTTACTATAGGAAACTCATCAAAAAGCGGAGAAAAAAAACTGTAAAAACTGTGAGCCCTCGCAAACCTTTTTTTTTTTTTTTGGTAAAAGCGGAAGAAGAGGTGGTGGTAGAGTCGATAAAGCTTTGTTGATGATACCTATTGTGTGCTAAGCAAATATACACGAACAATATAGTGCGGAGTTAAATATTAATTGTTTAATACGATAATTTACGCTGAGCATTTCAAATATCGAAATTATTTAGTTTTGAAAAAAAAAAACTAGTTTACGAATCAAGTTACATTTAGAAAATGGCCAAATTTATACCTAAATATATGTTTAAAAAAATAATAAAACACCCAAATGTTTTTCATTTAACTAGATCAAATTGTGTTGAGTTCCGAAAATAATATGACATATAAAAATACAATTTTTTTTATTATTATTTACTAATAAATTACATATATAATATTTATTTCATTATAACAAAAATGTTGAAATAAATTAACAAAATATTTTAAATCTAAAAAACTGTGATAAGTGATAACATAACTATTGATATTACTATCACTCTTACTATTTATGTTAATAATATAATTTTGCAATCAGATATTAACCTCATATCTTTTAATTCTACCCATTTCACTAATTTATGTTTATCCTTCTCAGCCACATGTTTATCTTTACTATGATACACAAATGTACGCATTGATACAATAAATGGTTTGTTGCTAACTATAAATTACTATAAATAACTAACCTAAATTACCTATAAATAACCGAAAAAAAACTATAATTTACAAAACTATAATCATATGTATATATGTATAATATCTATAATACTTTCTACATAAGAATTATTTTCCCTGTATTTTTCTTGGTTTCTAATAGGAGGACTTGGGAGGGTTTATCTCCCAAAACTCAGCCAAGCACTCTCAAATCAAATAATTATTAAGTAAACATAATAAATATTTATCAATTTATAGGGGCTTAAGCACCCTTCAAAATATTTGGGCTATTTGCGGTTATGTTTGTTGTGTTAGGTAATTTTTTTTCCGTAAATACCTATATTATGATCGCCAAATTCAAATATAAACTACACCTTACTTTTTACATAAATTTTTTTTCTGCTTGAAAACTAATACTTAATCACTAGATGGTACACTATTAAGAAATCCATCGTGCTAAAAGTCAAAAATCGATTTGCCAAACAAATTTAAAAAAATGTTTTCTAATGCAATTTTAGGATTGTTTTGGTCTATATTCATATATATATGTATATATACACCGCAACAATCGCATTAAATAACGTAACTTGACAACATTAATAGCGTATAAAATGCAAACGCATTTGTCACCACTACACCCCATCGCAGCGTATTATCATTGGTGCAAACGAGGTGAATGGTCAATAATTAATTAGGGAAGGGTTATACGAGTTGTCTTGGTCGTGACGAGACAAACGTTAATCTGTTTGGTGGTATTGCTGCTGTGCATAGAATGTGTTGTTTAAAAAGGCAGTTCATTAGAGTTCCCGTTGACGTTTTTGGTGGCCGCGCTATAATGGAATTTGTCCTGGCTCCGGGAATAAATGGTCGTCGAACAAGCCTCTCTCACCCGTCCACTACTATCATCAACTATACGGTCGGGGGAAGACAGAGGATACTGTATATTATTATAATAAATTCGTTTTCGAAACTGTATTATCGCCTGTTTCAGCGTATATATATATAATTTATTTATTCTTAAATTACATTTCGGCTCACCCTTTCAATGTATCCATTAAAAAAACCTACATCAATCAAACATATTATATTGTTCGAGTTCACTTTTAACCGATGATTAATTTGAATCGCTTTACCAAATGTTATTTTATTTTTTTTTTAAATAACTGTATCGCATATTTTATTCGTACAATAAATATTTTAAAACTATACTATAAACTGTATCGACCTATGAGGTAGGTATATATATTATATAATATACATTATATCATATATATATATATATATATATATTATGTATGATGTACGTTTTTTTTTATTAATATTCATCAATTTGACGTATTATTTTGCAAATGAATAATAATGATATATATTTCCACAACGATAAAAAATATAAAAGGTCATACATTTTCTCAAGTATATGCCAATCAATCGCTTGAATAAAAGGTGTATAAGTTATTTTTAATTGAGTCGTGAAGGTAGGGTAGAGTATTGTAAAATAAATTTAAATGACATTTAAATATACAAATTTTCAATTATATATTGTAGTAATATTATAATTTAATTTCCGTAAAAATAAAATAGTTATTTATAGTGTCCTTAACGTAGATTAGGTACCTACTATAATAAATAATAATATTTATCAATATTGTTAGGTACGAATCGTATGTGCAGCAAATATTGCCTATTTTATAATATCGTATAAAAAGTGTGCTTCAAATTAATCATCACTATCGACATTTTAAATTCAATTTTTTAAAAGCCCACAGTAATAAGATTACTTATACGTCAATTCAAAAATATTTACAGAATAATAAAATTAGGTACCTAAAATTAGGTACCTAACCTAACCTAACCTACCTGTAGTAAATATTATGGATAATGCATGAGTGTTAATAAAATACAAATATTTTGGAATTTACCGAAAAAATAATTTCGATAATATATTGTACCACGTACTAATTATTATCTTATTTGCGAAATTAAATAAGGAATTTAGTTAACGAGTTTTTATCAAATTATAAAATAAATAAGTTTATTCACTATTAACTTTATTTTCTACTTGTATATCTATTGGCGAAACCTTTCCATGCATTCTAATTACTTTGAAAGTTGTTTAATCATACCCTATATGCATATACATCTCAGTACATTTTCAGCATACCTAAATACCTACTTTATATCGCACATTTATTTAAATTATTTTTAATAAGACTACAAAAACACCTAAAGAATATGAATTCGTTTTTTTTCTTCGTGTAATTGGTCAATGAAACATGTCACATATTTACGATATTTTCGAAAATATAAAGTTAACGCCCAAGTACCCAATAACCAATATACAATGCTTGTATTTTTGTGTTAAATTTCATTTTTAATCATTAAAGAACTATATTAAAAAATATCTAGAAATCTAAAAATAGTAATACCTACTATGCCTACCAACCTATTGTTTGAAACATTTTTAGAAAAAAATGTACATATTTTAAATATACTACTCGTACTATTTAATCATTTTTTTTCATAATTATCAACTCAAATTTACCTACATGTTAATAAATTAACTTTTTCAATTTTTTAATGTTTCAAATAACTCATTGTAATTATTTTTTGTGTGCATAACACAAACTGTTGAAATCTATGAACACTAATAATACCTATTATATACTTTGATATGAAAATAAGACGGCCATAAGTGAAACTGTTTTGTATTTTTATTTATAATAAAATAAAAATAGTTGACAAAATAAAATTATATTGAAATTTATAAGTCTTTAGTTCAGATATATTTTAAATATAAAGTAGATAATATCAAACACGATTCGGTATTGTATATTTATATTGACATTTTTAATATTAAATATACGAAACCAGAGTTAATGTATAATTTTATCTGTACAAAAACACCGAAAACCTACTTGTATCCATCACATAATAACTCGAAAATTGAGTTAAAACTTAACCACGATACGGTAAAATAGAAGCCTGCAGTAGGTACTACTTTTAATTTTAAACATAATGAGAACCTATTTATCCATAAAACCAATATTTAACATAACTTAATTTTTAGAAGCTTGCACCGAAGGTCAATATAATTAATGTAAAACCAAAAAAGAAACAAAGTTTTTATAAAATATTCAAACATTTAACCAAGTATCACTAACACCGGACAGATGCCAAGGGGACACTTGCATAAGTAATGGAAATCGATTTTGTAATCTGGTCTCACGGAAACTTTCAGATTTTAATTAAAAACTTCATCTGAAAGCCGACGAAATTTGTTACTTTTCAATTTCTCTATAGTACAACCCTAACAAAAATAAGAAATGAATAAGCGGGTAGGAAATGAATATTATTTCGAAACAAAATGCAATATTTATCAAAAAGTTGGTACATCCGATTTGGCAAATTAACATTGCAAGTCCTGAAAAAATGTTAAAAATAACCCAAAACAACTTTTCGATAAAACTGAATAAGACGGTATTTACATATTTGTTAGAAATTAAATTCCTGTAAAACAGTTTGGCGAATGCATGCTGTAGTGAAATGTATAGCAATAAGCATTCAGTATTGATAGGAATAAAACGAGGTAGAAATGCAGTGAATTTATTTATATTATATAAACTCGCTTTCCTCGAGTATAATTTTTTTTTTTAAATATATAAATGATAAAATACCCTGAGACTTATGTAGACACTTATTATTATTTACAGTTCATCCGTTGGTACAAGTTCCAAATCAACTAGTGGGAGCGCCTCAAAAAACGGACATCACACTTCAATGTTACGTAGAAGCTTCGCCAAAGTCAATAAACTATTGGACTAGAGAATCGGGTAAAATATAATATATTTTACATATTATGTTCATTGGTTAATATTATTAACAATTGTTATAAGAATAATAAAATAAATATATACAGAGTGAATGGGTAATTAATATAACGTAAGATACTCAATATCTCGGAAATGATTGATATATTTTTTAAAATTTCTATTTCAGAAAATTTATGAAAAAAATAAGTAGCTCTAAAATCTTACATTACAGTTTTAAATTGTAAACGAAGCGATGAATGTATTGGTTTTACAATAATGTTTATTTTTTATTTTTTTATACTGTGCGTGAAATTTCTACCAAATAACTTACTCCGATATATCAAGTGTAGCACCTTTTCTGAAAATAAATATTGTCCATTTGGTGCTTTTAGGAGCTCATTTTTTTGATTTTCAAAGCGGTTTTTATAATAATATGGAAAACCCGAAAATATGAAAAATGATGTCATGCATAAATTAAAAATATTACTCTAATAGAAAAATAACAAGATGCTTTTATTGTGATTCTATTATTTTAAAGTATGATTTTTTTCTTGTTTTTCAGTAAAAATATTCGTAGAGACTTGACATTTTGACAGAAAACTTATATTTTCATTTTTTAGAAGTAATAAAACTCAAATTATTTGAGTCATTTTTTAACTATTTAGGGGCACTTTAATTTTACGAATGTCTATACGTAATATTTATTTGGTAGGCACTCTGTGGATAAAATTATTAAACTAAACAGAAATGCTTGAAAATTTGACACAGGAAGTTCATTTTAAGTAGTATTTAGTGATCAGAAATAAAAAAAATTCAATGTGTAATATAGTTTTTTTTTTTTTTTTTTATAAAAGTTTTAAAATCAAATTATAACGAAAATCATAAATATTACGGCCTTTCAAAACATGTATAACCGAACTTCGCTCTAAATCGTTTTTCATTAGCAATGGTCTAACAGTAGCGCACCTGTTTCCATGTATCAGCTCTGTTTTAAAAATAATTTTGCCATTTACCTACAGGTTTAAATTCTGATGATACATTTGAGATATGGCCACTGTCGAATACAAGCTTGGGAATTAGGAAGCACTTGGTATAGTTATCGCGTCTAGTAGTATCGAATATTTAAAAATCGAACAAATAGGTAAACATAATCTCAAGATTACCAGCTACAACACTGATGTATAGTTAGGAATAAATGAAGTATTTTAAATTGGCCATCATTAGTAAAACGAATCAAACTTTGACAAAAATGTATATGACTGTCGAATGGTGAAAAATAGTCTAAAATAAAAATGGTAACGTTAAAATTACCTTTATAAATATTTGTATTAAGATAAATTGTCGGTGGAAAAAATTATAATAGAATTAAAATTTCAAATAGGGTGTCTAGTAATTTCATCCCCAGACATATGGAATGACAAAAATATTAAAATGATACAACATTTTAGAACCACTTGTTTTTTATCATAGATTTTCAAAAAATAATAATTCCGAGATTGTGAGTATCTTACGTAACATTGAGTATCTTACCTAACATTGAGCTGTATAATAGGTATTTAATCGTTTTTTAACCTACAAATAATTCCAATTTATTAAAGGAATACCTTCAATAATCTATTTATGTAAAGGCTAATGTAGCTCTATCAGATTATTATAATATTAAGTTCAATAAATGTCAAAGGTAAATATCTGAACCAAACCGTAACAGAATCATTTCGAAATTCTAATAATACCTATTGAAATTGGAATTGAACCGATAATATTATTTTGTTTTCCGAATACAATTTGATATTTCAAATGATACTTCATTTCAGATACTGAATTGATGCCATGTTCTTATCAAACATAATTTTCAACGTAGACCCAAAGATTTGTGCAGGGTTATTATAATGTAATAAACGGAGTAATAATAAATCTACAATATTATCACAATCCGCATACATACGGTTTTTCCTTGAAAACAAATCATCAGACATCAACATTCAAAACAGACAAAAATAAAAATTGCCAAGTAGAAGATAGATTAGTAATAAAAACTTTATAGCTGATTATTTTTCCGGGGGATAGTAATAAATAATTTATTTCAAAACTGTAAAGAAAACTACAATGATTGACAATTGAAAGTAGGTACCTGTCTGAAAATCAAAATAAAATACATTTAGAAACTATTAGAACCGTATTATATATTTTTCTTTCGGTTCTGTTTTGCTGCAGTTTATGATACAAGCTGTAACCGTCGATAACTTTAAGTTAATTTTGTTATGTAATAGGTAACAGGAAACAAATAGGTACATAAGTATTTAAAAAAAAAAAAATTATAATTGAAGTAAGATTATTTTCGAATCAAAATACTTATATAATATTATGATATTACGTTTATTATGTATGTGTTTTATGCGAGATTTTTGACATCGGTAATATACGAATAGCTTTTACGATCCTTGAATTGTTCGAATAATTTCAGTAAACAGTTTTAGAACCCAAAAGTGTACCGAAAATACCGCGACCATGATAGTAATAATTACTAAATACAGTTGATTTCTAAGTATTTTCCATTTTCCTTAAATTCAAATGATAATGAAATTAATGAAATACCATAATACGAAAATGCATCGTAGAAAATTATAACGTTTGTCATTCGAAAGTGAAAAAAAAAAGTTCGAATTATGAATGTGGGCCTGCACTGTTGTAGGTGAGAAGTTGGGAAGGTACAAGATTAGGTATTATAGGTTAACATGGTTCGAGACTTGTAGTATTTGCTTATTTTTTCGCTTGACGTTAAATCTAGCAGAATACTATGTAAATGTATATCATTTTACAACGAGTTCAAATATAAAATATTTTTTTGGAAATATTGGTTTTTTCCGCTTTTTTGCATATTTTCTACTTTGTACTGCCTAGAATTTTCACTTTACAATTTTTAAATAATTTCTTATCTCTATTCTATTATCCAACTTGTATTTGTTTATTTTTATTATCTTGTTAACTTAGGGTGACCATACAAATTAAATAAAATTACGGAACACTTGAAAAAAAATCAAATTAAACGATGTATGATGAAACATAATGAAATATGTATAACGTATAATAAGTGAATATAACTAAAAATATAATTTCAAAAAAAAAATATACATGTGTTATATAAAGGTTTTTAAACACAAATAAAATACACAGACGATTTTATGTTGTTGATTACGGTTGGTCAATGTCTTCTTCTGCTGTTTCGTGTTGAACTAATTGCATAGAGTATAATTTATTATCTTTTAATAAAATATTGTTAAACTCATTACAATAATAGTTCGTGTAACAATAGTGTTCATCGCCTATTATATACCGTGTATAATACAATGTACCCGCTAGAATGGTCAAAACAATAACCCAAAAATACCATTGTGAAATAGAAATTTTATTTAATAATATGTCATATGGGCGTTAAATAAATTTCAAAAGTTCTACAATATAACAGAACCTAAGTAAAAAGACGCAAGTCTGAAAAAGATTGCTAATAAGAAATTTGTGGTTGTTTTTTTTTTATTTCAACAATTCAAAAAAATAAATGCTCTTTAAGTGCTAAAATAAGTACTTAAAGAGCTTATTAAAAGCCCTTTTTTTATCTATTTTAATTGCTATAGCCTATAAGTCTTAAACCCTGGTAATTAGATTTATATCAACTAGATCAATGGTAATGATCAATCAGTGTAAACAATTATAAATGAAGTTCGGTTAAATATGTTTTGATAAATTTAAATTCAAACATAATATACATTTATAGCCGTAAAAAATTAAAACACCATTTACTCATTTAAAAAAAAATGAATTAGGTACAATATTTTTATCTGCATACAACCAAAAAAAAAACTCAACCATTTCCAATGACTATAAATAACAGAAAAAATGATTTTAAATAGTCTAGGATAAGTAGTACAAATATTCGGTAAAAGTTTCAAATCTACACGATTATTTTTAATTTTTAACTAAATATCTAGAACGATAATAATAAAAAAAAAAAAAAAAAAAAAATGTTTACTACGTAATATGAATTTACATTTTTCTTTTTTTTAATTTTATTTCTTCTTGTCGAAACACTGTTTACGAATACAAAAACAAAATCGTAAAATTAAACACGATCCGTAAAAATACACAGCGAATAATTCGGAATTTTAATGCGTATAACAATACAGCATCAGTTGATAACAATAATAGTTTATTCGCAAATTGAAAATATTCATTACCTGTCTAAATATAATACAAAATAATACATACAGACAAAAAAAAAATTATTAAAAATAATTCCTGCATAAAAAATAAAAATATCTCCAGCCCCTTTTTTTTTGTGTGTAATGTGATGACACACACAATAGAGAATACACACAAAGGCCACCGAACGCAATAATATAATATTATTATTATTATTATTATTATTATATATACGAAAAGGGATGGGTAAGGTGAGGAGAATGTTCACGTGTGTGTGCGTGTATGTGATGACGTGATGGGTTGTGGATGGGTGGGGGAGGATAGATGGGGTGAGGGGAGGGGAGACAAGGGAAGCGACTAGGTTGACAATATAATTGTATTGGTTCAAAGGCCACGCGCGCGCTGCCGCCTCCACCGCCGCCGCCGACAATCGGTGGCGATGTAAAACCTACAGCCCTGGCCAATTCTGCTCTGCTCTTGGTGCAGGTCTCCTCATCCTCTTCCTCGTCCTCCTCCTCATCCTCCTCTCCGTCCTCTACTACCCCTTCGTATCCTTGCTCGTTCCCGCGTTCGCTACCCGCAACAGCGTGTCCACCTCCGCCGCACCGACGCCTTTAAAAAGCTCCGACCGTCACCGCGACGGCGGCGTGTACACTTTATTCAAAGCCATGCTAATAAATGTAATTTACATATTTTTCAAATAATTCTATCCGGTACACCGGGGGTTTGTGGTGTGTGTGTGTGTGTGTATGTGTGTAGTACCCACCGCCACTATACACCAGAAACCGGGAAACCACCCCCGCGCACACGATGTATACATATACCTATACACCCGCCGTCCTTTCACCACCCAGATCCGCTATCACGGGCTTCGTCGTCCGGTACGTATAGTATATATTATATAATAGTCGGAGACGGAGAAAATTCAAATCCAAACCTTTTTAAATTTAATTTTTGTAAAATTCAAAAATCAAAATCCTATAATTATAAAAAGTATTTACAATGCCAAATTTGTGATAATTCCGTGGTATACCTACGATGTCCTTAGACGATAACTCTCCGAATCATACCCGATTTTTACAATCACGTACCCAGCAATTATCTATGCAAGAAGATTTTGAATAAAATTCATTTTAGGTTTTTTTAACTCATAAACAATATATTGTATTGTTATAAATTAATAACATATTAAAATACAAACTGGAGGATTATGGACGCTAATAGAGGGGTTTGAGGAATTAGCCCTCCCCCAAATCAAGTTCTCACAAGTGAATAGATATTAGATGGGTACTTAAATATTTAATCAATATTATAGGGCTTTCAGCCCCCTCCCCCTGAAAAAATATTTGCGCCTATAATAAAGGTTATCATCTATAAATGATTATGACATTTTTCACCATTCTTTACTCTCCCTGTCTACATTTTGGTACATTCTATACACAATTTTTGTTTTTTGCATATTAACGCTTTTAGAGAGATATTTTTTTTTTTTTTTTTTTTGTAATAAAAATGTGGTAGGGAGTGCCATTTAGAAATAAAAATGTATAATTTAAGTTGCATAAGGTATAACTTATAATTTCAAAAAAATGTGTTAAAATAAAGAAGGAAAAAACAGAAATTAAATTTACTCAAAAAAACAAATTCAAGAATATCGATTGAACATGGCGTTAAAATAATCATTCTATAGGTATATCTATACTTAATTTGTTTTTATTTATCCGGGCGGTCAGTAGTTTCGTGTTCCCGTAATACTACACACACATTATGGGTTGTGTGTTCACGCACTGCGTCTCTCGGGAGGCTTAAATGCCTCCGGGTCATTATCGTGGTATTATTGTGTTAACTTCGTCGTTGTCCTACGGTGTTATATATATATATTTCAATTAAAAACCACTTCACCAGTACAGTAGTATGAATAGTATGAACACGAAATGTTTGAAAAGCTAAACGCTTTAAAAACTATACAACAACAAATCGCCGACAAAACAATACGTCATGCCGTTTATGGTAGTGCCGGAACGAAACGCGGTTTTTCTTTTTAAGATTTAGAGATGAGTGTGGTGAAATCATAATGTTTAGTGTCTCCATAAACCCATATCCATCTAAAATTTGGCATCTCATAAATTTGTGAAGTTCCCGATAACCTAGGACAGTTGCCTCCCCCACCCCTCGGGCCCTGGATGGGTGATGAGCGTTCAATATAAAAACAACCAAATATAAGTACTCGTTTAAGAACAATTAATTTAGTAAAAATAGGTGTAAATATTTTAATGGCCGACCCCAAGTAGTTGGGATGAAGGTGAAGGAGAAAAGAGGAAAAAATATTGTGACTGGGAATATCGGCAAGTATTGGTGGTTGGATTTACTGGGTATATTACCTATATAGATTGCATCTGGATTATTTTAGGTTCGTTTCGGCACTAGTTTATGGCGATTACTCTTCGATGGGATCGGTAGGTAATAGGTATATAGTTAATGCGGCACTGGCTGACTGTCTAATACTTGAACTTGTCCCATATATGTTCAATTAATAATTACTAACATGATTGACGGGAGTCTAAAATGCAACGGATAAATGAACGGTTTAATATAGCGACCCGATCAGAGGTAACCTATTTCCATAATTTATAAACATTATATTAACAACTAATATTAATGAGTACCAACTAAGTAAAAGCACTAGTGACCATATTATTATTATGAAAATCATCATAGATGATTCGATAATGTACTCATCAATGGGTAAACACGGTGGAAACAACGCGTGCAACAGACCCCGACTTTATTTGTTATGACTTTCTGGATTTCTACTTCTCTGCGATTTTATTTTCTGTTCCTCTTCTCACTTTGTAAAAATCTACTCGATTATTTTTTGCACCACTATAGCCAAACACAAACTCGGTCGGGTGTCCGCAAAACCGTTGTAAAAACAAAAAACAAATACCTATCACGGGCAGTGATGTTCCCGGTTTTTTTTTGTTTTTTTTTTTTGTAAAAATGTAACATAACATCCAAATTTATATCTTTCTTATGTGCGATTATAATATTGTTTTTGTATAGAAATAGATACCAATTAGCAATTATACAAAAAATGAATTACAATTACTAAAACAAAACATTTAACATTTTTAAAAATAAAGTACCAGGTAAGAAAATTATGACATTTCATTTTTAATAATTATTGAAATAAATAAAATTTGTATAACTATTTCGGTTTTTTTGGTACAAGTGGTATAAATGAGTAATGATAATATTTTATCATGACGAATTTTTTTTTTACTTTTTGAGATTACACCTACGCAGTATACCAGTGAATTTTCAACAAAATGTTGAGAGTACACGGCGTATGTGTACTATACCTACCATATGGGAACAACACCTTGGCGACTATATCTTTACATACCTTTACAAAACGCTTATTAACTTATCGTCCGTATTATGGGGAACGTAAAACCATCGGCCAGTTTGATTTTAACGTCTATTATGAATATAATAACAGGTACCAATACTCACTGTCTCCGACAACGTCTCGGATACCATCACTGCCCCCACCACGGCGACTCTCGATGATACTTTTTTTTTTTTAATTTTTTTTATTTATAAAATTGAACGCGTTTTTTATAAACAAGTACAAAAAATTAAAAAGGAATAACCGCGTAAATACTCAACGTGGATCGCGACTGTGAACTGAAGTAGTGAACAGAGTGAAGCGAGTAAGAAACGCTGACGGTGACGAATTGAGACCTTAAATTTAAGGAAAGCATATATCTATACTGCAGTTTGGGAGGGAGGACTAATTGTGTTAACCCTATTGCCCCCTCTGATTTCATCATTGAGACAAACCGATGCGATCGTCGGTACGTGGTAAAAGAAACCAAACGTGAAAATGGAAATCCCTCTGGCGACCGTCTGAGTTGAAGAGCTGTAAAAACCAAAACCCACTGTACAAAATATTATATTCGATTATGTTAGAAAATATAGCTATTTTCCGGAGAGTAATTATCCGGATTGATGAAAACCCGGACCGCAATAATCCTAAACGTAAAAACACGGCTGTATCCGAGTTCCGTTCCAGTAACCTTTTTTTATACCAATTCCGTTCTGATTAAAAATTGTCTTACCAATGTTAAAATATATAAATGTTAAGCACAGAAAATTCAAACGTAGTATATACTTTCATAAATACAAATTTGTTATTGGATTAAATTTATATGATATAAAAAAATAATTATTTATACAGACATTTTTCTAGTCAATGTTAAAATATAGAAAATGATAAACAATATTAAAATATTAATGTATACAAATTCGATTATTTAGTGCGATAACAAAAACAATATTATTTTTATTTCTAAATAATATAAAATTTTTACGGTAATCGTAAATTGTATACTATATTAATATAGTGTAGAAAATGCAAAACGGGACGGAACTCGTGTAACTAAATAAATAACACGACGGAATTAGTATATCCTTAAATTCAAATTTTACATTTAGGACGGAACTCGGATGCAGCCAAAAACACGGAACGTAAAAGTTCCTATAAATCTTTATAATCCAGAACGTCTTTCTTACTACCTTGGAAGAAATAATAACTTAGATGAAGAAGAAGTGATAACTTACCCTAACTTTATACTCGTGAAAATATTTTATAAACCATTGATAATTTTTCGGAATAATATGTTCCGGATTATGGCGGTCCGGGAAATTGCAGGCCGGATTTAAATAGCCCTCCCTACCTATTGTAAAATATTCTATCGATGATTATTCAATAATAGAAATAAAACGTCGACAGGTATATATTATATAATCGTACCTATTGTTTCCACTGCTCTCCAGGCCGACATCCATTTTTACGAACCACGATCAGGAGCGGGCACGCAGGATTGGGGAGATTAGAGATTATACCCTCCCCCGTTGTCCTAAAAATATAACAACTATACTAGTGTTTATTCAGTAATTTTATCTGGAAATGATATATTTTAATTAAATTATTAAGGGAAAAGCTCGATTTATCGAACACGAAGTGCAGCCTTTTTTTTTTTGATCCGGCATTTGAATTCACGTCGACGGACTACGCGTATAACAGAAGAAGATAATACAAATTTGAATACACAAGTTCAAACTGTCTATTTTTAGTTTTGACAAAAATATCAACCGTACGATCTATACCTCTGCACACTTATTGAACGAGTTGTTATTCGATTGTATAATACTAGGTGTATTATTTTTTGTAAATTGATATTAAACAATATACGATAATTTTTAAAAAAATACAATTTTTCTAGAAATTCAAGTTTGGGTAACTCTATTCCCCCCCCCCCCGGGGGAGCTGTCTCTGATATTTATAAAACTTCAGTTCGTATGTACCTATAGGTAGGTATACTGTTTTGGGATTTAGATAATAATGTTGAATTTCAAATTATGCACACACAATACATAACGAATACGCGAGACATACACATGTCATTATACAAATATTCTATTCTATTGATAATATCGATGGATATCCACAGCATTATAATATGTACCTACTGGCAACTAGATGTACACATTATTCGATGGTCCAAAATAACCGAACATATTATTATTAGTGACTAGGGATTTCAGATCACGAATTTGATACCTACAGGAATGTTCAGATAAATCAACTGAACGCAGTTGTTACATATGCGAATAATTTAGTACGAATATAATTATTATAAACTATAGTTAACCTGTGCGGACCTCAATATTCAAACGAAAAATATATTATATGCAATTTTAAATTAACAATTCGTCATAATAAAGAGGGAACTAACTAAATCTTTATAAAATGATATCTTATTTATTAATTTCGGTTGAGTATAAAAGCATTGGTACAAGTCAGGTAAGTATAAGTATAGGTAAAAATGGTGAAAAAGAAATCGTCAAGAAAAATCGCCTTTTAGAAATAATAATGTGGTGTACAAATATTACCATACCTAATCTTTAAATCGCGGATTTAAATTTAAATTACGTTTTTAAATTCTAAACGAGGAATTGGTTTTACAATGATATTTATTTTATTTTAAATCTGTCAACAAGTTTCTGTCAGAAATTCTTGCTTCGAACTTCAAGTTTAGCACATTTTTTTAAATGGAATTTTATCTATTTGGTACTTGATAAGGTCATTTTTTTTTGATTTCCCAAGCGGTTTTCATAATAATTGAAAAAATACGGGATATATTATTTTCAATTTTGTTTTTTGTTTTGATTCAATTTAAAATATTCGTAGAAACTTGAAATTTATACAGATAATTTATATTTGCTTTTCTAGACGTGGTACAGTTTTCAAAACATTTTAGTCGTTGTTCAGCTATTTATAGACATTTTAATTTGTCAAGGTTTTTACATAACTTATATTGGATACTCGATAAGTACCATATAAATAAAATTGTTGGAACAAAATACTTGGAAATTTACCGAGAGGTTCAATATAAGTCTTACTTTATGGTTAAAAATAAACTGTGTGTAAAGTAGAATTTTTTTTAGAATTTTAATATCAAATGTTCACGAAAATCGTAAATATTACTACCTTTCAAAACATGTACAACCGAATTCCGCTCAAAATCGTTTTTCGTTAGGAATTATTAATCGTTGAGTACAGATACATTAAAATATGCCCCTCTATATACTACCTTTCCAACAACAGTGGCTCACCCATTGTGCGAAATATGTCAGTCTTTTTTTCTGTGTTTTTTAAATATATTTTATCCTAATTTAGATATTTTCAATTTTTTTTTATCTATTATCTTTATCTAGATAAATTTACACATATTATCTTTTATCTTTACCTAGATAAATTTTACATTATATTTTCCCAACACTGCTTGTTTCTCTAATGTTCTAGACAACAAATTCGGAAAAAAATTAATACTTTCCGAGATAACGAGTGTACCTACTAACTTACATGGATCACCTGTTATACACATATGACCTTACGCAAATTGTTCGTGTCTATGTTCGTTATTAGGCACGTATGCAATTGCGATACCCTCGCGAACCAATACCGACAACGAATCAACAACTAGTGATGGTACAAAAAACAATAACAACTTTTACTTGGAAGAAAAAATAACAGTTACTGTGACCAATGACCATGTTAATACTACTGCAGATTATATCAAATTAAATAACATAATCTGTGTTGATACCATATTATATCTATATTATATGATTACATCATAGGAACATGTTGGTTAATAGTTAATACCAGTAACCACCACAACTGCTTAAACTGTTACCATAATCATAATTATTTTCAATTTTATTTTTCGAAAATTCCGGGCATATTTTATGACCGATAGACAAACACGTACAAACCAGTTAGTCACATATTATTAACAATTGGTTCTTTGGATTGAAAAAAATAACAGTTATTATGATTTTTTTTTTTTTAACATTAACAATTATTGATAACAATCATAACTCATCAATTTATACAATATATAACATCACTACCAACAACTAACAAATTATACGAATACACTCGGTCTGCGTTGTATTAGTCAGAATAACATATTCTTGATCTTAATATTGTTCTTTTTATTTTCTCTTTTCCACGGTTTTCCCATTTACTGGGAGAATCAAAAAATGAGTGTCCAATAAATGCCCATATAATAGTACAACCCCCAATCAGATTTACTTCCAGAAAACGTTATATCATAGTAATGCGGAGCAAAATTGTTGGTAGAATTGACATTAACAGCATAAAAAAAAAAAAAAAACGTCGTATAAAAACTCGCGCCACTCAGAAATTATAATGAGTGTTATCAAAAAACATTGACATTTATAATGAAATTTTAATTATACCAACACCTGAATGTAGAACATTATAATAGTACGTCATTGCAACGAACCTGCAGAATCATTCGTTTACGCAGAACAGAACAGAGAGAGTTGGACGCTCGCTTACCGTTCACTAAGAGACCGCTAAATAATTATCATCATTGAATATTGGCCCGATCGGAATCAGGCCTTTACAAAAATTAGATTTCTAGACTCCTTTGCATGCTCCCCTCCACGGAAATCTTTAGTAAAAGGCGAAAGATTTTTTCGTATTGAATGGGAACCGGAGTTGTCGTTTGATCCGTTTCGGGGTACCTATATACACGCTTCGGCCATGTCATCCTTATAAGAGGATTTTATAATCGTACTGAAATACTGCACTCTAAGTCGACTAAACACTTCACCACTTGTGTTAGAAAGTCTATTAACATTTCTACAAGCGGATTTTTCGTGTCCAGATCATAAATTGTCCGGTCGTTAGCCGAGAAATCGTTCGAACCGATCGTTGAGGCATCCATTTCAAACGGATGGTGCACGATCGCGCTATCTACTGGATGTTTTGGGCGTCTGTCTACGATACGAACGAGTCCGGGCAGTCAATATTCGTGTGTTTTTCGTACGTATCGACGGGACTATAACACGAAATATCGAATGAACAGTGTTCATAATAATTGGAAAAAAACGTAAGAAAACTAGAAAATATACGAACATAATACAATTAATATTTTCAATTTTGTTTTTTTTTTTTTATTGTGATTTAGTTCGAAATGTTTGTAAAAAAAACTTTTCTATCAGAAATCTTGCACCGGTTTTCAATTGTAATATTTTTTCTGAAGAAAATTTTATCTGCAGGGTGATACTTCGGTAAGATCGTCATTTTTTGATTTTCCAAGAAGTTTTCATAATAATTGTAAAAATCCGGGAAAAAACATAAGAAAAACAGGAAAATTTACGAAATGTATAATTTTCAATTTTTTTTTTTTTTACAATTCAGTTAAAAGACTGTAGAGACTTAAAATTTAGGCAGAAAACATGTTTGCTTTTTCCAGACGTGGTTAAGTGTTCAAAACATTTGCGCCATTTTTGAGCTATTTATACTTTATAGACATTTTAATTTTGCGAGTTTTTTGCGCAATATTTATTCGGTAGGTAGTCGTAGGTACCCTGTGGATAAAATTGTTAAGTAGACCAAACAGAAATACTTGAAATTTAACAGGAGGTTCATTATAAGTTGTACTACTAAGTGGTCAACAAGAAATTGCGATATTGCCTTAATCACGGTACCTAATATAGTCAGTGCAGTGTATATAATTTGCATAAAGCTTACATGCAAGATTTGGGAGTGATTGTCAAGCGAATTTGTTTGTTTTGTTTCAATATCTGCTTTCGTGAATTGTTTTTAGAGAAGTTTACAAAAACTTTGTTAGGATATTATTTGTGCATTAAATCAATTTTTTTTTAAAGGCATTTAGATTTTTTGGAGCGTTTAAAATTGTGTCCAGCTAATTATATTTTTTGTATTATTACAAGTAAGAACTAATTTTAAATTTTGATTGTTTAACCATGATACTTATTATGTATGGCGTATGCTGTATTTATTCTTGCTATCTATGAACAAGATTTCGACCAAAACACTTGATCCAATCAACACTGGGAATGGTCTTTAGATTGATGTGGTGTGGATAATTTTTATCCATTTGATAGGTACCAACTTATATAATGTAATTTTTTGAAACTCATTGAACATTCAGAGAAAACCCGACTCGTTTGAAAAAATCGTCGGAAAAATCAATTTTGTGTTTTTTTTTTTTTGGTATTCTGAATGAAGGGAAGTATAACGTATAGTAGGTATAGGTTTAACTAAGTGTTTTGTTTAGACTGAGTGAATGTAAATGTATTGGTTTTGATGTTTTTGTTTTTTTTTTACCTACCTGTACGTCAACCGAACCCTGCGCTCACCCGAGAGCTGGCATACAGTAGCTAATGAAATGTACACAATGATTACGGTTAGGTATTACAGTGATCCACAAAAAGCACAGATCTTAAAACTAATTTTGAATGTACCTATTTTTAAACTATTAACCGCACTAGTTGATAACTTTACTTCTAACTAAAGATGTGGAAGAAGAGGCTAAAAAATAAATTTACAAAATAAATTTAAAATGTACGAATATGTTTGGAAATTTGAATGACAAACTGAGGCAAATTGATCACGAACATATTTTAATGTCGTTAAAGAGTGAAACAGTAAACTTATAATGGATAAAAGAAACAATAAATGAACTAGGTAATTCGATCAATAGGTAGGTAATTAAAGAAATGAGAAACAACGCATATCAAATGGTAATATGATTTATAAAATGTTTAAAACGTAGGTATACTTTTAAATAGGTAGGTAATTCAATAACATTTAATTAGTAGGTTTTATAATTCAAATAAGGTATGTATTAATAAATTATATGAATCGATAAAAGTTATAAGTAGGTATAAATGCCTGTATATTAAATTACACATAAAATGATTTCAAATACTAACTAAAGCCCGTATTTAACGGTAGGCAATTACCTAGGAGTGGAAAATTGTTGTAAACCAACAACAATTTAACTAAAATGTATTTTATCCACGGACGACAGTTTAGTTTAATGCGGCACTGTACCCACATAGGTAATATTTTTAGATAGATACAAAAATTAAATATTCGTACAACTGCATTCAACAAAAACGTGGGATTTATTAAATTTAATTTTGGTTACAGGAGAAATGATTATTACAAACGACAAGTACAACATGACGGAATTATCGATTTCATATTACAGTGCTCAAATGAAATTGACAATTAGAAGACTTAGAAAGTCAGATTTGGGGGGATACAAATGCATATCTAAAAATTCAATTGGTGAAGCAGAAGGAAATATTAGAGTATACGGTAAGAAGGAACCAACATTTTTTAATTTCATAAAAAAAAAATAGATTATATACAAGTTTAACACTAGAATAGACGTATGCACTTTAATTGGGTAGGTACCTACCAATTGCTTATACAAGACAGTACAGATATTGTATTTTCAGTAATTTACAAAAATATCAATTTTAATTCTGTACATAAATATAGGATATTTTGGTAGATAACCTCGTGGATACAATCAGAATGTAATGAAGGTAGCAAGACGAATGTCCTGTAAACCATCCATCAACCAAATTAGCATTATCATAGCTATATAATATGGGTGGTTACAATTGATTTCTAACATAATGTGTACCCATCACCTATGTACCTACATATTTTAACTACCTACCTAAAATTCTGGGTAGGCAGTCACCTACATTCTTACTCCTTCATTACTATTTTTGGTTTTTTGTACAATTCCATTAGACATCTGTTATATTTTCGTTCATAAATGTTTTTACATTTTTTTTTTTCAAAAATGTGTTTCTATTCGAATACAAATTTTAACAAACATTTTGTAGTTATCGGAATCTTAAAATGTCGAAGTACTTAGTTTTATTCAATCTACAAGTACAAAATTATATGAATCATTAAAAAATTCTATTTCCTAGTTACATGACCCAGGTTTATAAGAAAAGAATAACTCGGTATATTTTGTATTTATATAGGTAATTAGATAAAATATTTATCCCTAATTTAGTTATATCAATTTGATAAAATAAGATACCTAATATTATATTTTATTTACAGAAATGAATTTATTAAATCCAAGACCGCCCAATGATGATGAAGAGGAAGATAATATCATAAATCCTTTTGATCCCGCTGAAGAAAATGACTACACAAACGAAATTAAAAACCCGAGACACAATTCGTCAGGCAATACACCAGCGTTGAAAGATCAATCGCATCGTTTACATAGATCATCTTCGAATATGATACGCTACAATAATAATAATAATATAATTATCACTATCTTTTTGTTTATACCAATATCATTATTACTAATGGTATAAAACTGAACTGTTATTATATACTTACCTAATCACGGTATTAGAAGATCTTGTAAGATTATCTTCTGAGACCGTGTGCCTAAAAATTAAGATAAACACTTGTTTGGAGGTTGAACTATTATTATTCCATTTACTTAAATCGCATAATTTCCTATAGGTACATTTTCCATTCTTCCTATATTGATAAATAGTATGTTTTAATCAAAGTGATAATCAAACATAGGTAAACTCTTAATGTGTGAATAATATTATATTATACACACAAGCATGTTGTATAATATGTGTAACCTCTATACTCATAATATCTAAAAATACAATCCAGGCATTAAAGGTTATCAAAGTTGAAAACAAAATAATTAAAAATACTCAATATTAACCAACTATAACCACAAAAGGCTACTAGGTTAGATTTCACTACTTACACTTAGTTTAAGCGCATTTCCAAAAAGTTTGTTAAATGATCATATTTTGTTTAAATATTTTATTTGAAAATATTGTAATTAAAATACCTAGTATGGATTGTTTTATTATTATTATTATTATTATCTGATTTGTCTTTAATATTTATTATTAAAATGTATTTATTTTTTTCTGTAAATACCTAAATCCTAAGTCCTACCAATGCTCAACCTCCTATTTGTTTACAATAAAAATTCAAACTATATAATATCATTATGTATGCAAACTAATAAAAACATATTCACAAGATATTATAATACATAATATGTTGTTAATGGATTCATGTTCTACATTAAATTTATGTTGAATATTTAATAATATTACATGTAAATAAATCTAGTTAAAACAATATTCTTACCAGTTGTTTAATATTTTGTTTATACTAAAAAATATGATCCAATAAAATTAATTAAAAAAAAAAACATTTGGTAACTATTCAACAATAATTATTGATTTACACAACAAATTTACAAAACTAAAATTCTGTCCTTCATTACTTTGGTTTATATAATATAGGCCATAAAACAAAATAAACTTAATTATAGGTACCTAATTAAATATATAAAAAGTACACTTTTACCTCGTAACACAACAGGTATTTAAAATGTATACATATTTTCATCTCTGATAAAAGACTTGTGTTACCTATCTTATTTTAATGCATGAGCACTATAAAGTCAAGAGCAACAGTTGAATCGGACATAAAGGGGAAATCCATTTATACCATTTTCAGAATAAGAATACATCGCACCATGTATCCATACAGCGCTAAACGTTCTGTGATTGGTTATTAATAATCAGTCAGTAGAGACATGCATGCACAGACAGGCTGTAGTCTGCCATTTGATGTGTTCTTACTCTAAAAATAGTTTAGAACGAATAATAACTTGGCACTTATATACTAAAGTAAAATAAAAAAATTTTTTAAGGACTAAAAATCAATTATTATTAATTAGTCTATTGAAATCCGATCACCACTGTTTTTTGTACCACACAGTCTTGTACCTGTAGGGTATTCTCTATATAGTGTAAAAGTCAATGTTTATGTATTATCTACAACCAAATCTATGCTTCTAGATGCTTACAAAGTCAAAATATTCATATAGAAGTGGATGAACAGATTTACGTAAACCTTGAAACCAGAATTTTAAATTTCAACTTCTAAAGGGTCGCTGATACATACATTTTGGTATTAAAATATGAAAATCAAATTATTTTGATTACTGGGTTAACTTATAAAACATTACTAAAATTACATATTAGCTTTAGTATACTAAACAATAAATATTGTATATTTACTAATGTTACAAAATAAAATCATATTATCAAAAAATATCATAAATTTACCCCTTTATTTACAACTAAATATTATAAAGTTTACATTGGTATATTTTTAGGGTTATCAGTACTATAGTAATCCATATTCAAATGTTTATTTGAATTAGGTATTACTTTCAAATAAATAATGTATTATTATTTATTATAATACTTAAACAGTTTAAAACATGTAAGTCCTTACTCTTTTCTATTATATATAGACAAAAACTGTTCAAAAGAATGTTCAATTCTTGATATGCCATGAAAAACTTTCCTGATTATTTAAGCATGTGTGATGACTTAAATGAAGGTCTGTTATTAAAAATGACAACACAGACTCTTGCTCGTCTTCAATTATGCATATGCTATTCTATTAATGACATTGGTATTTTGAAAATTGACATACAACCAACAACTTTAACAATCTCGTTTCACTTTACAATTGAAGTTAGACAGAGAGCTAAAAGTAAATGAGTAAACTATTTAAATTTTAAATTATAACTTAATTATAAAGTAAATTGTATTAATAGTTCTTTTAAATAAGTCAATTTAAAAAAAAAAAAAATCAATATTAACTTTTAAAATAATGATAAAATCATTGTATTCGGAGCTATAATACGTTCACTACTAAATGGTCAAGATATTATTTATAAATTCTGTTCAAAACTTTCAACTTTAATTTAGACTGCATTTTTTAAAATTAAAAAAATAACTAATTTAAAAATGAAGGAAGGTTGTATTTAAGTATAGTACTTTTTCTAAAATAAAAGTAATTAAAAAAAAAAAAAAAAATATTAGAAAACTAGTGACTTAATAATTCCTTTGCTCACTTTATAATCTAGTATATTTTATAACTTTTATTTAGAATCGCAAAAAATTGCAAATTCAAACAAGTTATTCATTTGACATTCTTGCATCTGAAAATTTGTTTAGTCCATCCATTAAAACTTTCATTGTCATTCCATTTTTTACTAAAATGGATACTACTCCTAAACGTTCCAAATCAACAATGTTACGGTGTTCATCATCAAAAAATATCATATCTTTCAATTCAATTTTGCACGCTTTGCTTATCCTATAATTTATATAACCAAACATTAATAATTAAGTTTAAGTAATATAAGGTGGAGTCACAAATTGTAGCCAATATCCCTGTTATGGACACTTATTTCCATATTAATATTATTAAGACTTTACAATTCAAATTAATTATCGGTAAACTTACAATGTATCCATGGTTATATTTTTATTTTTTTTCAATAACCTAAGGTAGATTAAATCAAATATTAATAGAACAATTCTTTAGGATGGCCATAGGTAGTGACTCCACCCTATCTTATGGTAATATTTTATACTTGCCTGTTTATATGAGTGTCTTTGCTACCAGGATATATTTGTTTATTCTGAAAATATTTATTCCAACCAAATAACTGTATAAGCTGTTCGGCTCCATCTGTTTCTCCAGTTCTTGAAGCAACACTTATACCAATATTGTTTTCGTTAAGATATTTTAAAATTTTTGGCGTTTCTGGATAATGTTTAATTACACTTCCTCTGTAATCTACTACTTTACCAGCACTACAAATTTAAACTGTTGATGAGTTTAACACAAAAATTAACAATATTAAAACCAAACAATTACTCACGAGTTTTTATGAAAAGGAGGATTCACGTGAGTGTCAACCCAAAATGGCCACAATGTATAATCTACAATATAAATATTATTTTAGAATATTGTAAGGTACCTATATTGTATTCCATTTTATTTAGTCCTAAACATTGATTATGCTGAATAATATATTTTTACTCATAGAATTAAGTCCAGATATTAAGATTTAAGTACTGTAACTTACTTGTATGTTAAGCTAATAGGAAAATATTTTAAGCGTTTATATGGCATACCTAAATCAAAAACTGCCATCTTCGGAACTTTTTTTAAAGTATCCATTATGTATTAAACAGAAAAAAATTGACTTGAGATTAGATACTGAAATAACGGTAATTATAAGATTGACAATATAAAATTTTGACTTGCGTCCTACATAAATAATAATTTGTTATTTTAATTTAACATAATGAAATGATAACATTCACTAACTATAGATACAGTTCAACTGATAAACGATAAGTAGAAAATCATATCAATTTTATTTTTACGTTAATTTGATAAACCTATGTACAAAGAATATTAACAAAACAAAACAGTGTACAACATTCACATAATGAAAAAAAAAATGGTTTGTATGATTTCTGAAAATTTAATAAGTTGGCAACAAATTCGTCGCCAAAACTGACGAAAACAATCGGTGATTACCGGTGTTTGATAACATGCGTGTCAAAAATAGGTAAACAAAAATTAATCACTCGACTAAAATATAATCTGAAACGTACAATATCTTTATAGTTTATACCTATTCGTTTTTAAATTTTTTAATATTTAAATTTTATAATTTATTTATAAAGATATAATTATATTTAATTGAATAATGCATTGCCACTCATCACTTAATTATAATTGTACGTTTTAGAACATTTAACAGAAAAAAATTAATTTGAAGTACAAATTTCACCAATGCAGTGTTAAGGTTAAAATACATTTAAACATTTGTAAGTACAGATGTTCTTATTTAATATTATTTTATTCTGAATATTTTTATTATTCAGAATATTTACAGGATGATTTTTTTAACATGAACCAGCAATTTTCTTGGAGTGAATTTGATTTCTATTTTTTTTTTATCATTATGGAATCAGTTAAGCTTTTATTTACAACCATTTTTAAATTTTTTTATAACTACATGTACCTGAAATAAGTATAAATTTTTGTTTTTCAAATTGGAATCCCTTTTTTGGACACAGATTTGAATAGAGAATATTTTTTTGGAAATTTTGATATGCATAACACTAATATCAGATTTACCATTTACGAGTTATAACCGTTTTAAGTTTAGACTGGAAAAATAGGGTAAAGTTCAACTAGGCATTTTATTATCCATCCCTACTCCTTCAATCTAAACTTTAAACGATTATAACTCATAAATAGTAAATCTGATATTAGTGTTATGCATATCAAAATGTCTAGAAAAATATTCTCTATTCAAATCTGTGTTAAAAAAGGGGGGTTTCTATTTGAAAAATCAAATTATATACTTATTTCAGATATATGGAGTAGTAGTAAAAAATTAAAAATGGTTGAAAAAAAAAACAGAAATCAAATTCACTTAAAATCTTCTGGTTAAAAATTGATGGTTCATGATAAAAAAATCACCCTGTATTATATTTTTTTATTCAAATTAATATTAGTATTAATATTGAGTTAAATATTGACCTTAAACTAATTATTAGGTATGTATACAAATATTTAATTGATTAATAAGGTACTTACGTAATATATAATATGTTCAAACATATAATTTAATGTTTGTTTCACATTTATTTTATATATATTTTTAATTACCTATCGTACAATAACAAAATGTATTAAACACCTATATTAATTTAGGTAGATTAGGTACTTGAAAAACTTAATTTGTATGCCTATATTTTTTTTTCAGAATTCATCATGAAAATACCATCATTTGCAACTATTGTCTCTGTATTATTTATATCATACTTGGGTAATCTATTTTATTCAATATGGGTTATGGTGCAACCACCAACATGTACTAGTGAAGGTTTATGTTTGAAATCATTTTTATTACGAAAACCAAATTTAGAAGTTTGTATTTTTATTTATATCTTATTAAAATTTTCAATTTTATATTTATCAAATACTATTTCAGTTGAATGTATTTGTTTCTTCACATTCAAATCCTTTAGGATCAGAAGTTATATTTGTAAAAAACTTTCTGTTACCAAACTATAATGTTTCTTATGAAAGGTAAAATATAAGTAAATTTTCTAGTTTAAAACATGTGAATAATATATATTATAATATAATAATAATATTTTTTTTATTATAGAATGATGACTGTTGAACTACCAAGACTGACCAAACGAAATGGAACATTGTATGCACATGTATTTTTAAGTAAAGCTCAAGAAGCTCTTCATTCCGAGAATAAATGGACCAAATTATTAACTGATCCCGAAACTGTGTACACCTTTGTACCAATGTCTATTTATAAAGAACCAGAATATAAAGTCTTTCAATTGCTGAAAGATGGAGAAAAAGTAAAACAAAATATTGAAAAACCTGTGACCCATATTAAGGCTGTATTACCAGTTAGTATGTTGACAGAACCATTATATGTATCTCAGATACACATGCCTAGTGATATTTATCAATATATAAGGTAAAAGTAATGCAAAATTAATTTAATAAGAATAAAGTGAAATTTGAATTCTGCATTATCTAACTGTATGCATTTTTTTAAAATACTATTTCAGACTATATAAACAAAATCAAGAATACTTGCCTATTTTTCTACATAACTCTCTTCAAGATAGATCCTATAATGTTACAAGAATTAACAAAAACACCTCACATGTATCTATTTTATTGCGCTATGAACCTTTAAGTTACACAGGATTAAGGTAAATCAAATGTATGAAGTCTTATATTATTAACTGTAATATTTTTATTATTATTGCCTTATTTGTTAGTTCTCATTTTGAAATATAACATTTTAATATAATGACATACTGGTATGAAACGGCCTGTCAACTTCTCTTCAATCTCTTCTCCTTTACCATCATCCCCAGCTATTTGGGATCGGCCACCCTTGTCCTAAACTTCCAATTGGTCCAGTTTCCCACCTCACAACACTGGCTGTTCTTGAGTAACCTAATATTAAGTCCTGTCAACATAAATACATTTATTACAAATTTAGGATTGTTAATTGTATTGTCATTTCATTTTCTTACACAAATAATATCATAATTGAATGTGATTTTAATAGTTAATTATAATAATAAATAATTTATCATTTAGAATTTTAACACAAACTCAATTGGCTATGGTTACAATGCAACAATTTGGATTCAAAAATAAAGATATTGATGAAATTAAAGCAATCTTTGATACCAATCATTATGTATTATTAATTTCAATTATTGTTGCATTTGTTCATGTAAGATACAAATTTAATATTATACTACAATACAAATGTTTAAAATGCATATTACCTATATTATTTTCTATGAAATAAAACATATTTGATTATTTGTTAAAGATATTATTTGATTTCCTGGCTTTTAAAAACGACATATCATTTTGGCGATCAAGGACAACTATGGCTGGTTTGTCGTCACGTCTTGTCATTTGGCGGGCGTTTAGTCAAACTGTTGTATTATTATATTTATTAGAGGAAAAAGCTTCAATGTTAATTATTGTACCAAGTATTATAAGCTCTATCATAGAGGTAAGCTTTTATAAATAAGAATAAAATATTTACATTTTATCAAATATTATTAAATATTTAGATTTGGAAAGTATTTAAAATCATACCAGTTGATTGGAAACAGTTTAAGCTTAAAAAATTAAATTTAAACCGTATTGAAGAAGATACTAAAAAGTTTGATGCTGAATCTATGAAATATTTATCATACGTCTTATATCCTTTATGCATTATTTCTGCCATCTATTCACTCATCTATGAGCCGCAAAAGAGGTTTGAATTTATTTTAAATAAAATCATTATTTTTTATAATAATATATTTTTAAAATATAATTTATTCAGCTGGTATTCTTGGAGTATTAAAAGTCTTGTCAATGGAGTTTATGCATTTGGTTTTTTGTTCATGTTGCCTCAACTTTTTATCAACTATAGACTTAAATCAGTTGCACATCTTCCATGGAAAACATTTATGTACAAAGTGAGTTTTCAGACACTTCTATACCACAATTTATTCAAACTAATTATGTTATATAGGCATTTAACACTTTCATTGATGACCTGTTTGCATTTATCATTCCAATGCCAACTGCCCATCGATTAGCCTGTTTTAGAGATGATATAGTTTTCATAATTTATATATATCAACGATGGTAAATATCATAAAAATCATAGAAATACCAATATTGCAATAACTAGATAATTATATATTATGACCAGTTTTATATTATAATAGGTTGTATCCTGTAGATCGAAGTAGACTTGATGAAGATATTGAAGAATCTATATCGTCCCCAGAAGACAGAAAAACAAAAACTGAATAAATTGATATGAATTAATAAATGTGTTATTTATGTTTATAATGCACATAATATAAGTGATTTTATCATGATCAAGCAATTTTTTCAGACTATTTTAAGTGAATTTGATGGGTTTTTTTTTTAATAGTTATGGAATTATTATATAGGGTAAATTTGTTACTAATATGCAAATAAAAAAATTGTGTTAACATAAAACTTAAATAATTCCAAAATAATAGACATTAAATTCACTTAAAATCCTTCAAAAAATCTCTCGATCATAATAAATGAATCACCTGGTGCCTGGTGTTCTAAAATATATTTTTCGTTATATTCTTTGTGATGTGAAAAAAAAACAAAATAGGTATTATTTTTTGTACTTAAGTAATTTACCATATAAATAATGTTATTTTGTCATTTATACAAATAATACAATTTTTATTTTTATTAATTTAATTATTTTTGTGTAAAAGTGATATAATTGTTTATTTAATCGTTATATTTTAATGTTACTTGGTGATTGTGTTAAAAATAAATAATTTATTAAAAATTTAAACTAATTAGTTAAAGTATTTGTTTTTTTTGTTCATTTTTTTATAAGCAAATTTCAGCATTTACTTTCAGTGGGTTGTAAAAAGATATATTTTGTTATTCTGAACTACAATTTTTAAAAATATCATACCTACATTACAGTAAAAACTAATAAAATCAAATTATTAAATTATACATTTAATTTTACAAAACATTAATATATCTAGTTATTTGTTAAACTTCATAATTTGATTTTATTATTATATATATATATAATCTAGTTGTGTAGGTTTGTTAAATGTTATGTTTTGGTATTAGAAAAAAATATCCTAATTAAAAATAAAATCTGTTTATTTGAAAAAAAAAATTAACAAATAATTACATAATTCACGATTAAAATATATTCTGAGATACTTTAATATTTTACAATAAAAATGTTTAGGAGTACAACAAATGAGAAATAAATGTAATTAAAAACCATAATAATTAGATAAATAATAGTAAAAATACATATTTATTGTCTCAATCTCTTTAAATCTGTTTAATTTCCTTTACAAGTATTGCGAGTTGAATAACAGACAATTGAAAATTGAATCCAGTGTTGAATAACATATCCAAAAGTTTAATAATTTCTGTTAATCTTGTTGGTCTTTTAGGATTATAATTTAAACACTTCATTATCAAGGGTCTAGTACCATAATGTTTAGCTGTCTCATATTCTGTTTGTAGAATTTCCACACAAAATTTAAAAAACCTGTAGAATGCCAAATCAAATGCTCCATTTTCCCCATATAAAATAGACCCACTTGTTATACGATAGAAACATTCAATAAGATATTCCCAAAGCGACATTCCTCTGAAGTATTTTGTAGCATTTTCTTGCTTACGTGTGAGCATTAATTGTTCATAATCTTTGGCCATATAAAGAGCACAGGGTGGATGCTTTCTGAAGTTTGCGTAAAGTACATTATAGTATTGATCAACTTTATCAATATTCTCACAGTTCATCATTTCACTTACTAAAAATGTCATTGTATCCGCATTATAATAAGATTCATTTGATATATACATTACAAGCAATTTTATGGTTTCTGGTTCCTGTCTGGCAGCTAATTCAGCCAAATTTTTACTGAAAGGCGCACTATCCGTATGAGCATATTTTGGAAAATTGTTTTCAATACACCGACAATAAGTCATCACATGTTTAATGAAACTATGTCCGTTCAACAAATCAATGTATTCTTTTACCTTTCTATCATTGAAAAGATTCATCTTGCCTGACAAAAAAAAAAAAAAAAAAACGATTATGCTATGATTAGATATGACAGTTTGAATTTTGTTTATTTTATAATAGGTATGTAAATGTATTTACCTTTTAATATGGGTTTGAATTCAATACAAAGTAGTAATAATTGAATACCTAGATTCAATATATTATTGTTTATATGTGTAATGAACAATTGTATAATACTGGTAATTACCAAATCAACAACTACTAATTAGGTGACGTTAGGTACATACATACTACATAGTCGCTCAGTAGCTCTGATAATTGAAACAGCAGAAGAGAAGTTTGGACCGAAAAACCTGGCAGAAATATCGTTATTTATAAATACCAATTCGAAAAACAATACAAATTTGAACCATAAAAAGTTGAACTATATAGTTCGGCGATATTATCATTAATCAAGAGATAACGCCCAATATTGATATAGTAAGTAGTGATAAGTGATAATACTCATTTCTGAATGATTGAACTGAATGATTTCAACACTTGAATTTTAAAAATTACTTATCCCATTAATGCATCAACTACATATACATTATTTTTCTCTTAAGTGATAGATATTTACCAGTTTTTATCTAATTTGTTTCAAACTTTATGTTAATTCAAACATTAATGATGATTCAATTATGATCTTAAACAAGATTTTTTATAATTCAACACTTGAGTTATTTAATCTAGGTTTTTTTATTAATAATTACCTATTTTTCAATAATTATCCGCCCTACTAAAGTATTTAAAAAAAACATATGTTTAGATAAGTATTAAAGTACTCTATTGTAGTTGCATCACGTGAACCTATGATGAATGGTATGTTTGAAGATTCAAATATGCATTGCAAACCAAATGCTCTTGTTGGTAATTTTGGATGGTTTTTGCAAGGTCTTTTAGCTACATTGGCGTTCCTCTGTTTAATAAGTAAGATATGTTTTTAATTTATGCATGTAATGCTGGTTACTTATTTTCAATATTTGATTTTTTTTAATTTAAAAGCTTATAATAGATACATAGTTTTTACTTTTTAAATAAAATTGAATGTTATGCAATCTAAATTTTTCTAAAATATTTGTAAAGTTTCTTTTGATTTTGTTGTATTTTATTTTGTTTCATATTAATATCATGTAAAAAACAATTGTTTGTTATAAAGTTTGTATAATAACACATTTGAACACCTATGCATGTATTATGTTTGTAATTAGTAAAACGATTTTGTGAACCAAAGTATGATCGACGACCATGGAAAGTATGGTTTTTTGATACTTCTAAACAAGGTTTGGGATCTTTGCTTATGCATTCAGCAAATTTATTATTAGCTGGTCAAATTCAAGGCGATCCATGTAAAAGGTAAATTTAATAATAAGGTAATATTTTGTTTATAAAAGCTAATAGAAAAGAAAATTGAAGGTAATTGTAATTGGAAGATATAAAATTCTAAAATTTATGTTTTTTTTTTTTTTTTTGTTATTAGATATATGATACATTTTTTATTGGATTCGTCATTTGGTTTACTGATGATTTTTTTTGGTATACGATTTTCACAACACATAGCAAGAGTGAAAAATTGGGAATCATTCAATTTTGGAGAATATGGTATGAGAACATCTATTTATATGATTACAGTGGTGATTTAAAATATATCTCTTAATATTTTATAAGTGTTCAGTTTTTAAATTATACAATGTTTTACTAGGTAATTTGTTAATAACTGATATAAAAACTGTAATGGTAATTATTATTTTCAATTTTTCTTATTAATGCTATTCACTATGTAGATATAATTAGTATTATTTACTATTAAGATATAAATAAATATTATTTGTTATTGTTTTTAGGAAAACCAGAATCGGTTAGAATTTGGTTAATTCAATGTGGTTTATACTTGTCACTTTTATGTTGTGTCAAAATAGTTATTACATTATTAATTTCATTAGACATTTGGTTAGTACTTACAGAATTTATTATGTCACCCTTCACTGACCCCAGGACAGAATTAACAATAGTCATGTTCATCATTCCTTTATTTATAAATGTAAGTAAATTACAAAAACATTATTTTTATGATCATTAATAATAATATGTGTATTGGGAAATATAGGCTCTTATGTTTTGGGTAACCGATGACATACTAATGCATAGAAGTCGTCATCGAATTGGTTTATTGAGGCGCATGAAAATACGATATCATAAAGTTCAACAAAGCGGTAGACTTGAAGATTTGACTGCGTCGGATGATGAAGAATTGCTCAATGTAGATGAAACATCAACAATTTTACGGTCTAGTTGAGCTCAAAGTTTTTAGTTGGTTTTAAAAATAGTTTATTTAAAACAAACATGCATTTCAGTGTATACTTAATTCCTCAATGATATTCAGCATTCCTTCATTATATATTATATATTTTATAAAAAATATTGTAAATTGTATATGATTTTCAGTATTTTTATAATTTTTTACAGAGTTATAATTTTATAATTTATACTAGCCATTAATTCATTTATAAAATGTCATTGCTCATCCTTCATTTAGGAGTCTGTAAAGGTGTTAAAGCTAAAAAACAACTCCACTCCACGAAATATACTAAATTTAGATTTAAATTTACTTCCACTTTAATCACTTCAGTCTGTTTATAAAACAAATTTGATTGCAGAGTTCATTGAGGTCATTTGGTCCAGTAAGAGTCACTTTAAGTGTCCAAAAGTAATAAAAAAATGATTTATATTATATGTAATAGGTTGATATATGACACAATACAATTCAATTCTTTCTATTAGCACATCTTTAAAATATCAACAATTATAGACAATCTTTTGTAAGGCACTTGTTCGATTTATTAAATGTATTCCTTGTAAGTTTTGTTATTAATGACTCCTTCATAATCTTAGTTGGACACGCATGAGTTTCTCTGGGCTCTGACTATTCTAGACCAAAATTGAATGATTGCCCAATGAAAATTTTTCAGATTTCTCATTTTTATACTATAAATACAAATTAACGAAAAAGCTAGGGTTAGGTTAAGGAATTTTGAAAAGTTCTCATGTTAAATCTTGGAGTGTTGAAATCTTCCTATTAGATATATATGAACATGCAAAATTATGATGCATGAGTCATCCAGATCATAGTCCAATCTAATTCCAATTAATTCCCTATGTAATTATCTATGTAAGTAATTTCTAAATAATATAGTGCATTTAAATAATTATTCCTCTATATTTCATAACATATCTCCGTTGTACCTATTCTCGCTCTATGAATCTTAAAGGCTGTGATAAAATTATAGTAAAGTTAAAAATTTTAAATATTGGCCATACTTTTTTTTAAAGTCTGTTAATAATTTTTTATTCACATATATTTTTTATTTGGTAAAAATTTGCC